ATATCATCTCACACCAGTAAGGATGGCTACCATCCAAAAGACATAGAACAACAAGTGTTGGTGAGGTCGTGGAGAAAGGGGAACCCTCCTACACTGCTGGTGGGAATGTAAATTAGTTCAACCATTGTGGAAAGCAGTATGGAGGTTCCTCAAAATGCTCAAAATAGAAATACCATTTGACCCAGGAATTCCACTTCTAGGAATTTACCCTAAGAATTCAGAGCCCAGTTTGAAAAAGACAGATGCACCCTTATGTTTATTGCTGCACTATTTACAATAGCCAAGGTATGGAAGCAACCTTAATGTCCATCAGTAGATGAATGGATAAAGAAGATGTGGTACATATACACAATGGAATATTACTCACCATAAGAAAAAAACAAATCCTACCATTTGTAACAAAATGGATGGAGCTAGAGGGTATTATGCTCAGTGAAATAATCCAGGTGGGAAAAGACAAGTACCATATGATTTCATTCATATGTGGAGTATAAGAACAAAAGAAAACTGAAGGAACAATACAGCAGCAGAAGCACAGAACCCAAGAATGAACTAATAGTTACCAAAGGGAAAGGGAGGGTTAAGTGCAGGAAAAAAAGAAAGGGGGCATTACGATTAGCATGTATAGTGTGGGTGGGGCACGAGGAGGGCTGTGCAACACAGAGAAGACAAGTAGTGATTTTACAGCATTTTACTATTTTCATGGACAGTGACTGTGAACGGAGATGTGGGTGGGACTTGGTGAAGGGGGAGCCTAGTAAACATAATGTCCTTCATGTAATTGTAGATTAATTATACCAAAATAAAAATTATAAAAAAAGAATATTTGGCAGGATTATAGTGTCAGATAAATAGTGTTTTTAATGGAAGAAGCCGTGGTAAATCTTGCAGTTATCGCTATTTTTTAAAAACCCATTATAGGGATCATTATTTAAAGGTTGACATCAAGAACAGAGCACTAATTCAAAATAATGAAACAAAACCCTGATGACATTTTCCATGATGTCTAACTTTAGTTTAATGCCATCTTGATTTCTGTGTTACTTGATGGAGTCAGAATAGAAACAGATGCCATTAAAAGTGCTGCTTGGAGGACATCTCTATATGCCAATAATGTTTGTATTTTCATAAAACTCAGTTTAGTCCATTAATACCCTGTCTCTGTCTAGCATTCAATCTGTTAATACTGTATTTCCTCCAATACTGCAGTTTTTAAGATGGCTAGTACAGTCCAGTTTAACTAGAAAGAAGAAAATTTCCAAATACAGTATAGATAGGTATGGACTGAAACAAAACTCTGCATCAGGAATCCCCACATACAATTCCCAGAACTAATAAAGGCTTCCATCATGACCTCAGGATAAACTGTGTTTTAATTATGCCATCTGTCAAATGAGAAGAAATATGCTCTTTGCTAAATGTGTTGAAGAAAATAGCTTGTTATGCATAAAATGTCATGAGTGTAGTAAGCATTAGGTTTTTTATATTTGCAAAGCTTCTGAATAAAAAAAAGTGGGGGTACAAATGATAGAACTTTGAATTCCATTTGTTAAGCCCTCAAAGATACATAATTTCATTGGTAAGAGCTCTGTTTTGGTTTGTGAAATGAAGCAAAACTTTATTCTGACAGTGTTGATAGTATCACCAACTAGAAACGTATACTTGAAATCCATCATATAATGAGGAAAGAGTTTTATAATGTACATACCACATTATCTGTAGATTCTTCATGGTGGTCCTCCTTATGAGTACCTGCCTCATTTGGAACAACTTCACTGGACTCTTCTGCAGGGGAGAAAAAGGCCATGATTTCATTTTTCATTCCTCTAAACTGTATTGACAATGCTTTTTTCAAGATCACTTAAATAATTTCTCTGCTTTAAAGACAAATACAGAAAGAGAAAATTCACATCATATACACTTTGATGAGATATTTTACTTACTTATTTATTTATTTATTCATTTATTTATTTATTTATATTAAGGTATCATTGATATACAATCACATGAGCAACATTATGTTTACTAGACTACCCCTATTATCAAGTCCCCATCACATACCCCATTACAGTCACTGTCTATCAGCATAGTAAGATGTTATAGAGTCACTACTTGTCTTCTCTGTGCTATACGTCCTTCCCTGTGCTCCCCCTATATTATGTGTACTAATTTTAATGCTCGTTAATCCCCTTATCCCTCCCTTGCCACCCAACCTCCCCAGTCCCTTTCCCTTTGGTAACTGTTAGTCCATTCTTGGGTTCTGTGAGTTTGCTGCTGTTTTGTTCCTTTAGGTTTGCTTGTTGTTCTTCTCCACTAATGAGGGAAATCATTTGGTACTTGTCTTTCTCTGCCTGGCTTATTTTACTGATCATAATACATTCCAGCTCCATCCATGTTGTTGCAAATGGTAGAATTTGTTCTCTCTTTATGGCTGAACAACATTCCATAGAGTATATGTACCACCTCTCCTTTATCCATTCATCTACTGATGAACACTGAGGTTGCTTCCATTTCTTGGCCGCGAGAAACATAGTGGTGCATATGTCTTTTTGAATATGGAGTCCTGTATTCTTAGTATAAATTCCTAGGAGTAGAATTCCTGGGTCAAATAGTATTTCTATGTTTAGCTTTATGAGAAAACTGCATACTGCTTCAAACAATGGTTGAACAACTTTACATTCCCATCAACAGTTTAGGAGGGTTCCTCTTTCTAAATATCCCTGCCAGGATTTGTTGTTTGTCTTTTGGATGTAGGCCTTACTAAGTGGTGTGAGGTGATATCTCATTGTGGTTTTAATTTGCAATTCTTTGATGATTAGCGATGTGGAGCATCTTTTCATATGACTGTTGGCCATCTGAATTTCTTCTTTAGAGAAGTGTCTGTTCAGATCCTCTGCCCATTTGTTATTCAGGTTATTTGCTATTTGGTTGTTGAGGAGCATGAGCTCTTTACATATTTTGGATATTGGTTGTGTCATTTACGAATATATTCTCCCAATTCTGTAGGATGGCTTTTTGTTCTGCTGATGGTATCCTTTGCTGTACAGAAGTTTTTTAGTTTGATATAGTCCCATTTGTTCATTTTTGCTTTTGTTTCCCTTGCCCGAGGAGATGTGTTCAGGAAAAAGTTGCTCATGCTTATATTCAACAGATTTTTGCATATGTTTTTTTCTAAGAGTTTTATGGTTTCATGACTTACATTCAGGTCTTTGATCCATTTTGAGTTTACTTTTGTGTGTGGAGTTAGAAAGCAGTTTCATTCTCTTACATACAGCTACCTAGTTTTGCCAACACCAGCTGTTGAAGAGGATGTCATTTCCTCACTGTATAACTATGGCTCCTTTACCATATATTAATTGACCATATATGCTTGGGTTAATATCTGGACTGTCTATTCTGTTCCACTGGTCTATAGGTCTGTTCTTGTGGCCATACCAAGTTGTCTTGATTACTGTGGCTTTGTAGTAGAGCTTGAACTTGGGGAGCATAATCCCTCCTGCTTTATTCTTCCTTCTCAAGATTGACTTGGCTCTTCGGGGTCTTTTGTGGTGCCATATGAATTTAGGACTATTTGTTTGAGTTCGTTTAAGAATGCTGTCAGTATTTTGATAGGGATTACATTGAATGTGTAGATTGCGCAGGATGTCAATTGTGACAATATTAATTCATCCTATACATGAGCACAGGATGTATTTCCATTAGTTGGTGTATTCTTCAATTTGTTTCATGAGTGCCTTGAAGTTTTCAGTGTATAGGTCTTTCACTTCCTTGGTTAGGTTTATTCCTAGGTATTTTTTCTTTGTGATGCAATTGTGAATGGAATTTATTTTCTGATTTCTTTTTCTCCAAGTTCATCATTTGTGTATAAGAATGCAACAGATTTCTCAGTATTAATTTTGTATCCTGCAACTTTACTAAATCCAGATATCAGTTCTAGGAGTTTTGGAATGTATTCTTAAGTGTTTGTTATGTACAATATCATGTCACCTGCAAACAGTGACAGTTTAAATTCTTCCTAACCAATCTGGATGCCTTTTATTTCTTTGTGTTGTATAATTGCCGGCTAACACTTCCAGAACTACATTGAATAAAAGTGGGGAGGATGGGCATCCTTGTCTTGTTTCCAATCTTAAAGGAAAAGCTTTCAGCTTCTCACTGTTAATTATGATGTTGGCTATGGGTTTTTCATACATGGCCTTTATTATGTCGTGGTACTTGCCTTCTATACCCATTTTGTTGAGAGTTTTTATCAGGAATGGGTGTTGCATTTTGACAAATGCTTTTTTGGCATCTATGGAGATGATCATGTGATTTTTGTCCTTCTTTTTATTGATGTAGTGGATGATGTTGATGGATTTTCAAATGTTGTACCATTCTTGCATCCATGGGATAAAAACCACTTGATCATCATGTGTGATAGTCTTGATTTATTTTTTAATTCAATTTGCTAATATTCTGTTGAGTATTTTTGCATCTTTGTTCATCAGGGATATTGGTCTGTAGTTTTCTTTTTTTGTGATATCTTTGCTTGGTTTTGTTATTAGAGTGATGCTGACTTCATAGAATGAGTTTGGAATAATTCCTTACTATTGTATTTTCTGGAAAACTTTAAGAGAATGGGTATTACATCTTTTCTAAATGCATGATGAAATTCTGTGGTGAATACATCTGTTCAAAGGGTTTTGTTCTTGGGTAGCTTTTGATTACCATCCATTTCATTGGTGGTATTTGGTCTGTTCATATTTTCTGTTTCTTCCTGCATCCATCTCTGAAGGTAGTATTTTCCTAGAAAGTTGTCTATTTCTTCTAGGTTATCCTATTTGTTAGCAAATATATTCTCATCATATTCTTTAATGATTCTTTGTATTTCTGTGGTGTCTGTAGTGATCTTTTCCTTTCTCATTTCTGATTCTGTTTATATATGTAGATCCTCTTTTTTTCTTGATACATCTGGCTAGGGGTTTATCTATTTTGCTTGTTTTCTCAAAGAACCAGCTCTTAGTTTCATTAATTTTTTTCTATTGTTTTATTCTTCTCAATTTTATTTATTTCTTCTCTGATCTTTATTATGGCCCTCCTTCTACTGACTTTGGGCCTCATTTGTTCTTCCATTTTCAGTTTCAATAATTGTGAATTTAGACTGTTCATTTGGGATTGTTCTTCCCTCTTAAAATAGGCCTGGACTGGTATTTACTTTCCTTTAAGAACTGCCTTCGGTGCATCCCACAGAAGTTGTGGCATTGCTCTGTTGTTTTTATTTGTCTCTATATATTGTTTGATCTCTGTTTTAATTTGGTAATTGATCCATTGATTATTTAGGAGCATGTTGGTAAGCCTCCATGTGTTTGTGAGCCTTTTTGTTTTCTTTGTACAATTTATTTCTAGTTTCATACTTTTGTGATCTGAGAAGTTGGTTGGTACAATTTCGATCTTTTTCAATATGCTGAGGTTCTTTTTGTGGCCTTGTGTGAGCCCTATTCTGGCAAATGTTCCATGTGCACTTGAGAAGAATGTGTATCCTTCTGTTTTTGGGTGGAGTGTTCTATAGATGTCTGTTATGTTAATCTGTTCTAATATGTTTTTCAGTGCCTCTGTCTCCTTACTTATTTTCTGTCTGCTTGATCTGTCCTTTGGAGTGAGTGGTAAATCAAATTCTCCTGAAATGAATGCATTGCTTTCTATCTCCCCCTTTAATTCTGTTATTATTTGTTTCACAATGAAGGTGCTCCTGTGTTGGGTGCATAGATATTTATAATGGTTATATCCTCTTGTTGGACCGACACTTTTATCACATAATATCCTTCTTTGTCTCTTGTTACTTTCTTTGTTTTGGAATCTATTTCATCTGATAACTGTACTACAACATCTACTTTTTTCTTCCTATTAGTTGCATGAAATAACTTTTTCTATCCTTCACTTTTAGTTTGGGTACGTGTTTGGGGTTGAGGTGAATATCTTGTCAGCAGCATATAGATGGGTTTTGCTTTTTTATCCACTGTAACTCTGTGTCTTTTGATTGGTGAATTCAGTCCGTTTACATTTAGGGCGATTAGAGATACATATGTACTTATTGCGATTGCAGGCTTTAGATTTGTGGTTACCAAAGGTTCAATTGCAGCTTCTTTACTATTTAGCAGTTTAACTCACTTATTATTCTATTATAAACACAGTGAGATGATTCTTTCTCTCCCTTCTTTTTTCTTCCTCCTCCACTCTCTACATGTTAGAAGTTCTCTTCTGTCCTCTTTGTGTATAGCTTGACTGACTTTGTGGGTAGCTAATTTAGTTTTGCATTTGGTCAGTATTTAGTTGATGTACTTACTTTACTTTTGTTATTTTTCTCTGGTGACAGCTATTTAGCCTTAGGCATACTTCCATCTAGAGCAGTCCCTGTAAAATATACTGTAGAGATGGTCTCTGGGAGGTAAATTCCATCAACATTTGCTTATATAGAAATTGTTTAGTTCCTCTGTAGAATTAAAATGGTAATCTTGCTGGGTAGTGTATTCTTGGTTCGAGGCCCTTCTGTTTCATTGCATTAAATATATATACCACTCCCTTCTGGCCTGTGAGGTATCTGCTGAGAAGTCTGATGACAGCCTGATGGTTTTCCTTTGTAGGTGATTTTTTTCTCTCTCTCTGGCTGCTTTTAGTACTCTGTCCTTATCTTTGATCTTTGCCATTTTAATTATTATATGTCTTGGTGTTGTCCTCCTTGGGCCCCTTGTTTTGGGAGATCTGTGGGCTTCCATGTCCTGAGAAACTAATTCCTTCTCCAAATTGGG